CCAAATCTGTCCCGCCAGGCCTTGCAATGTGGCCTGCACCGCGCTGTCATCACTGCACTCCGCTGCGTTTCCATCACAATGACAGTTTATGACTGTTCAGTAAACCATTCGGCCCGAGATTTAGGCTGGATTTTAGATTTTGGCCCCTTCTCTGATTGAGTTCGACACCCCTACTTTAAATAATAAAGAAAAAACTATTGGCACTGATAAATGAATTCTCTTCTGGCATTCCTATGATGAGGATGTTGGTATGGTTGATGTTGAACTAGGAGTCTTTAAACTCTTCTCAGTTTTTGTTTTTCTTTTTGCTGTTCTGATAGGGTTTTTTCCTCTATCTTCTCTTCTAAATGATTAATTTCATCCTCTACTTCATCTAATGAACTGTTGATTTTCTCTAGTGTATCCTTCAGTTATTGTATTCATTTCTGACTGGTTATTTTTTTATTTCCTATGTCTTTGTTAAAATTCTCACCGAGTTCATCTACTATCCCCTAAGGTCATTGAACATCCTTATAACCAGTGTTTGAAACCTGCTTCGGATAGATTGCTTGTCTTCATTTTGTTTAGTTCTTTTTCTGAAATTTTATCATGCTTTTCATGTTTCTTTGTCCCCTCATTTTGACTGCCTCCCTGTGTTTGTTTATATGTATTAGATAGAGCTACTATATCCTTCAGTCTTGGTAGAGTAGCTGTAAGTAGTAGGTGCTCTTTGATCACCTGAACTGAGTACTCTTTTGGTATCCCTTGTGTGGATTGTATGTGCCCTCCTGTTGTAGTGGAGCCTTGATTGCTGCTGTGACATCACTGGGAGGAATTAATCCTCAGACTGACTGGCTATGAGAAGTGATCATGACTGCAGGAGATAACCTATTTGTCAGGGGGCTGACCCTACTGATGGGATTTACTTCAGCTTGGCCCTGGTGCCTACTGAGTCTACCCTTTTGGGTACGTCATTTGTGGAGCTGATTGGGTGGTACCCTGGTATGTTCTAAAGCCAGGTACCAGGTTTGTTGGTTCTGGGACCTCTTGGGAGGAGTTTTGGTATAGACCAAGTTTAGTCACTGCCTGTGCCTGATTCAGGGCCACCTGGTAGGAGTTGCAAAGTGATCTGTAGTTGACTGTCACCTGTGCTGGGCTTGGAGGGTCCTAGTAAATGGTAAGCTGTGAACTGAGGCTGGCTTCCACTATTGCTAGGCTTGGGGCTGCTTAGGATATACCTGTTTGGGATTACTGACTGTTTGGGATTACTGGACCTTTGAGAGGTTTCAGGAAAGTCCACAGCATGAGCTAAGACAGGATGTTTGTGTGGGAAAGTCTTCAAACAAGGTTTGGTCTGTGCACTTGAGTTGGGTAGAGTGGGGTCTCAGGGAATCGCCAGAATATGGTGAATGTTGTTAACCAAGTTAACAAGTGCCTGCTGCCTGGTTGGGGGAACAATGATGTCTGCCAGTACTTCCATCCCAACAGAGAACTGTCCTGACCTTCCAGCCCTCACCCTGAAGTTTGGGAATTCAGCTCTTCCCCAGATGTCACTGGTGATTTCCGAGCTGCTGCCCTGTTGTGGAGCTCAGAATGAGTGAGTTTGTGAGTGAGCATGTCTGTGCTCAGACCCCTCAAGAGGATGGATGCCTTAATCTCCAAGAGCCTTCAGTCTAACTCAGTTGCAACCCCTGCTGCTTCTCTCACACTTCTCTCTCTCTCTCTCTCTCTCTCTCTCTCTCTCTCTCTCTCTCTCTCTCTCTCTCTCTCTCTCTCTCAAAATCAATAAAAATATAATTTCAATGAGGATTTAAAAAAAATAATATTAGGTTTCCAAATGAGCCTTATCCAGTGCCTAGCACTTAACTGCTGTTTAAGGAAATGTTTTGGGGGGTTGAAACCAGCTTGATTTGTCTCTTTATCCCAGGATGCCTGTGAGCTGCTGCCGTCCTAGACCTATGAGAAGGAATAGGTGGGTAAGAGTACTGGACTGAGAGTCAGAAGTCTGGTTGTAACCCTAACTCTGCCCTTAAGTAGCTATGTGATTTGGAGTAAATTGCTTTACCTCTCTATCTTTCAATTTTCAGTTATTGTATATAAGATATCTAACATGGACCCAAGGTGCTTATGAGGTACTCAGTGACTATGTCTTCCCTTTTCTAGACCCTTCTGGAATGTATGTACTCACTTTATATATGAGAATATTTTTTTCTTCCTTCTCATCATAGTCACATCTTTGTCAACCCCTTTCCTGGCTGAAACAAAGTCTCTCCCCCCTCATCCCTCTGTGTGTGTGTGTGTGTGTGTGTGTGTGTGTGTGTGTACACAGAAGATTAGAACAAATCCAATGCAAAGAGGAAATCCTTCTAATACTCAGATTACCAACTTGTTCTATGGTGTACCTTGCTTTCTCATAATTTTTATCTATGGTCTTTTTATTCAGGGTCTCAGACCTGAAAGAAAGTGGGCTAAAGAATCTCTTATAGGAAGTTAATCTTATTGATTACGTTTCCCAGAAATATGAAGGATAACATCAAAGGGCTGTTACAAGTCACCAGGGAGGAAATCTGTCCTGATGGAGGCACCTGACAGGTTAGAGCAGAAGGGGAATATCTCTGAGTGACCCCAGGACAAGGGGGCAAAGGGGTGAAGGAATGGGGACAGATTTATTAGTGTTTTCTCAGAAGCCCAGTTCTTAGCTTTCATTAGCTGCAGCTGCTTCTTCAACTGCTTCATTAACTTGAGCAAAAGTCGTTCATGGTAGCTGTTGGCTGGTGTTTTCTCTGGGAGAAAGCTAGGAGACTGCCTATAATCACTCCAGTTAGCAGTTAGCATCCCCCCAATCTGCTTTTTGGCTTGGACTGGCTAGTCTTAACATTTGCAGAACCTGCTGCAATGCTCACAAATGAGTGCAGATTGTATCCTTGCCCCATGTGGGTGGGCTTTGGCACCAGCTGACATAGCTGAATATCTCACACTGAAGCCTGTGAAGACCAGCCCCAAGTACCACTGCTCCTAATGAGAGCAGCTTTGCTCTCTAGCACTTACTGAAGTTCAAATCTATGGGGGAGCAGAACTCTGAATGTGGCTGTAGGAAGGTATCCAGCCCAGAAAGCAATCATTAGTGGTGTGTGCTATGAGTAAATGTTCCCTGGGAGATTAAGACATGAGCTAAATGAAATTATGATAATAATATCATCATAATCAACTACCTTTAACTGCGTACATACTCTGCTCCAGGCACTGGGCTAAAAAAAACCCTTTGAATTTATGTCCTGTCTTTATACAACAGCCTGTTAAGATAGATATTGATACCTTTTTAGTTGGATGGTTGGGAGCTTAAAAGATGAAATAACCAGTCCAAGATTACACAAGCTTGGTGGCAGAGCTAAGACCACTGATCCCAGAGCTCAAGCTCTTACCACTCCCTATACTAGTATATGCTTTGCCTTAAATGACCATTGGACAAAAAACTTTCCAAAGGTTGCATGTGCCAGGGGCAGCTGGAAATAATGCAGGTTGTGAGTTCTAAACACCACACTCCCATGGTTAGTTATACAGACTGACCTCTAAGAGACTGGAGAAAGAAGGTTTAGGTCAAACTGATCCTTATTCAAGAGGCAGGTTTAGTGGCAAGCCCTGCGCAACCAACTACTGTGGTTCCACTGATCCCTTCCCTCAGGCTCTGTGGTGTTGTCTAGGAAGATGAACCTAGCAGCAGAAGGTTTAAGGAAGTCAGGAAACATGCAGTCTGAGGTATATGGAGGATGAGGTAGCAGGCGAATTTCCAGCCTTGCTTTGATGTGGCTGAGATGTTTGCATTATACATGAGCCTCATCTTTTTCTTTTCTTTTCTTTTCTTTTCTTTTCTTTTCTTTTCTTTTCTTTTCTTTTCTTTTCTTTTCTTTTCTTTTCTTTTCTTTTCTTTTCTTTCTTTTCTTTTCTTTTCTTTTCAAGCCCCAACTGCTCTAGTCACTTTTTTTTTCTCCCCTAACTCTCTGTAGGTATAACTCTACCTGCTGCCTTCCAGCCCAGCTGTGGACTGAGTTCATGGGGGTGAGTCAGTATATATTCCGTGCTTGTAGGTGCAAAACCACTATACCTTCTGTCCTCCCTGGCAGTTTGTAACATTCACCATCACCCTTTTTGAGCCTTTGTTTTTATCAAGGTACCCATACCTATAAATGCCTCTTTGTTTTCCTCTCTGATATATACATCTTCCTATTGCTTCCAATTCAATAATTATTTTACTGCTATCTCTTTCCAAGTAGTTATATACAGGGAACTACTCCATTCTCTGGAAATTGGAACCTCCCCAAGGTGGTTCACTGAACCCAATGCAGGACATATGAATATCTAGATATACATGTCTGCGACTGCTGTTCTTGGTCCTTTTAGTCAGAAAGACCTGACTGCTCTATTAGTTTTTAAGTGCCTTAAAGAGAGGTAAGTTAGTGTGGTGGAAAGGGCACTAGATAGCATAGAGGCTAAAGTTGCCCTAATTCTTGCAAAAGAAACTGCTCACTGGGAATAGAGGCCTGAACCTGTCACCTCAGCCTGGTGCTGGGAGGCATAGTTTATACTGAGACCAAGGCAATGGTGGTCACTAACCACTAATGCTCCAGGAGTTCTGCTGGTGGGGCATTGAAGAATCTTCTCCAGGACTCCTATGCTTCCCTTAGGTTCCTTCAGAACTGATCCCTCAGTTTCCTATCCCTCATCCTAGTGATAGCTACCTCCTCCTCCCCTCTTATCCTCCTGGTCCACAGTGCTTCCCACCCTAATATCTCTCTCTCTCCCCCTTTTCTTCCAGCTGATGCAGCCAGCCATGCTTTCTCCAGTCTCTCCTCCTACTCCCTCCCCCTTTGAATCCAGTCCTGGTTTCCCCAAAGCCAGTCTCCCTTTTCTCTTTGCCCCTCCCCACTCCGCCCTGCAGGTGGCAACTTGGGGTGATGGTGTTAGCTGGTCACCAACCCAAGCTGGCCCAGTCCGGGAGATTCCAGTCCAGATCTCGCTGCTGCCAGACCCAGGTAGGACTCCAGAAGCTGGGGAGGTGGGCAGGGTATAGCTGGCAACCTCCAGGAGGACAATGCACCCAGTTCTTCGCCATCCCCGCTCGGTCTCTGTCTTGTCCTCCTGTGGCTTCCAGCCGCCACCGGGTGGCAGTCCTTCCTCCAGGGAGGTTTCTCTCCTGGCAGGAGAGGCTCAGGTGACAGCAACACTAGCACCAGCGCCAGTACCAGCTGGGGGCGGGGGGGGGGGGGGGGGGGGGGAAGCAGCGGCGGTGACAGCGGTTCTCCCAGCAGCAGCACCAGTGCAGAGCGGGAGGACAACCCCAACCTGAGCGTCAGTATAACCAAACCACTGGTTCTCACTGCCGACACTGCTGGGATCACAGGACCCCTAGCCCCAAACGCTGACCCAGCCGCAGGTGTTGCTTTCTCCTCCACCTCAGCCACCACCCTCTCCTCCATGCCCACCTACTCCTGCAGCATGACAGCAGCAGATGTCAGTGGGGGTGCTGCCAGGGGCATCTTTAGTAGGGGTGCTGCCGGGAGCGTTGGGGGCCCCGGGATCTGCTTGGTTGGGGTTACTTGTGGCACAGGGACTAGCAGCGGCGCCTCCTGCTGTTCGTGCTGCTGCTTCTGTAACCACAAGGCCCTGACCCCATCAGACCACAGAGGTCAGCATCACAGTGGGGACAGCACCCCCAGTTCGGGGTGTCCTTGGGGCTACCAGGCACTGTCCGTGGTGCTGCTTTTGGCACAGGGAGGGCTACTAGATCTGTATTTCATCGCAGTCACCGACCTGTACTGGTGTTCCTGGATTGCCACCGACCTGGTGGTGGTTGTGGGCTGGGCCATCTTTTTCGCCAAGAACAGCCAGGGCCATCGGGGCAGTGCTGGGAGCCACCACCAGCACCACCATCATGCCTCGCTGCCCCTGCACCTGCCCGCTGCTTCCATTGGGGCTACAGCAGGGGCCAAGGCTCACGGTGGTCGTGGGGGCTCTGGAGGTCCAGGGGGTGGTTTAGGGGCGGCTGAGGTGGTGGGCGAGTTTGCCTTCGCCTACCTGGCCTGGCTCATCTATTCCATCGCCTTCACGCCAAAGGTGGTGCTCATCCTGGGCTCGTCCATCCTGGACCTCATTGAGCTGCATGCACCTCTGGGCACCACAGGCTTCCGCCTTACTATGGCGCTGTCGGTGCCTCTACTCTACAGCTTGGTGCGGGCCATCAGCGAGGTGGGAACTCCCCTGAGCTCAACAGGCCCCTTGATTCTGCAGCCCCAGCAGCACCGAGCCTCGGGATGTTTCCTAGGCACTTGTCTGGATCTGCTTGATAGCTTCACCCTAGTGGAGCTCATGTTGGAAGGCCACGTGGCACTTCCCACACACCTTCGCTACCTGCTCATCATAGTCTACTTCTTCACCCTCTCCTCGCCTGTGCTTTGGCTGTATGAGCTCAACACTGCAGCAACTGCAGCAGCTGCAGCTTTGTCCTGGGACCAAGCTCCTGGACCTGGCAGCTGCAGCCGCCTTCTGCGCCTACTGGGAGGCTGCCTGGTGGACATGCCCTTGCTGGCACTGCGATGCCTCCTAGTGGTGAGCTACCAGCAGCCCCTATCCATTTTCATGCTCAAGAATCTCTTCTTCCTTGGATGCCGTGGCCTGGAGGCCCTAGAAGGCTGTTGGGACCCTGAAAGACCAGCTTCTTCCAATCAGGCCAGAGGGGGCTATTGTGCTCCGCCCTCTGTCCCGCCTTCACTACCACCTCCACCACCACCTCTGGGAGGCTCCCAGCTGAGTCACTGTATTACAGAGAACAATGAGACAGGAGTCCATGGCTATGCCAACACCCTAGATGTGGCCTCCCAGAATTAAGGGGAATAAGTGGGGGGTGAGGCTTGCTTTTCGGTTGAGAGACCTCAGCTCCCTTGTCCTCTAGCTTTCTCTCACCTAGATTATATCAAGCTTTGTTTAGGAGAGGTGATTTTTATCCAGCCTGTGTGGCTCCAGTGTTTGAGCATGAACCAGGAAGTCACGGCTCCATCCTCCATTAGGGCACATGTCCAGGTTGAAGGCTCAATGCCCAGTAGGGGGGGTGTGCAGGAGGCAGCTGATCAATGATTCTCTTACATCATTGATGTTTCTTCTCTCTCTCCCTCTTCCTTCCTCTCTATTCCTCTCTAAAATCAATTGATATATATTTAAAGAACAGGTAACTGTTAATAGAGTTAAGGGCTAGTGTGTTCTTTTGCACTCTTTGGGTCAAGACTGCTTGGAGTAAGACCAATAGCTAATGGTGAGGGAGGAGGGTCTACTCACTCTATTCTCCCTTCTCCATGCCTGACTCTGATTCTCACTTCTGGATACCTCTGCTTCTTGCTTTTGCCATCTCCACCCTAATTCCTAGCCATTGTATGAAGGAGGGAGGAATGGAGGAAAGGAGATGCCCAGGCACAGGGTGATGGACCTTAGGCCTTCTGTCTTGCTTATAACTGCCAGCTTCTTTTAGGCTTTGGTTAGTGACCATTGTCCCATGCCTTGAAATTGACTCAGAATCCACTGTCCCCTCATGTGTTTATTGGATTTATTCCAAATGGTAGATGCAAAGTCTATGTCTCTATGTACATGTAGTATTGGTTTCTTATGTTCACCTTGTGGCCCGTTGCAATCAGTAGATCTGGGGAAGCCCAGCCCACTATACATAGCACCACCCTCCTTGTTCCTACCTAAACTTGTGGCAATAAATTCCCAGAAAGAGCTAGGCTCCTGGGAGCTGCCCAGTTTCTCTTCTTCAAGAAAGAAGCTCACCAAGGATCTTCCTCAATCCTATTCCTCTCTTCTCAGCTTATGGGAAGGAGAGTGTCAGAGGGTTCATATTCTAAGGACCAAACTGCACCCTTTCTTGGGTGAATGGGCATTTCTACCCCCATGCTTTTGACTTTTGTTACATCATGCACTGATGCTGCTTGCAAAAATAAATAAATAAATAAATAAATAAATAAATAAATACATAAATACATAAATACAAAATACTTAGAAGTTGCATTCAACATGGTCACTAGATCCAGGTGGGATTTTGTTGTCAAGGTTGTCACAAAGTCTGAAGTATTAGCCATTGGCTTGTCTGCCTCTCTCCCTATGCATCCATATCTGTTTCCCCAAGGTTTGTTGCTGGCTCAGTCAGATCTTGGCTCAGAACAGCACACTTGGTGGGGTTCCTGGATAGATATGAAGTTGGGTCTCTCATGGGTCCACCTGCCCTCTAGAAAGTTTTGTGAAGACCAGAAATTGTGGTGATGACTTTTATCTTTTGCCCTGTTAAGAGAATCTCCAGGGAAAATTCAAGCTTCATGGAGTAGGATAGGCAAACCCACCACAGCCTTTCTCTCTGGTATTCCTCTTGTTAAAATTGATGAGAAGGGACATACAGGGGTTTCCCACTAACAGTCTTAATGTAGGCATCACTCTTGGAATCTGGAGGTAGGATAAGTATTTTTAGGAGAGTTAAGTGTGCAACAAGGCTAGGAAATAACTCTCCTCCACCCCACAACAGGAGAGGGATGAAATTGTAAGAATTTTTGTTTCACCTTCACTTTCTTATGCTCGGGAAGTTTTGTGTGGTGTAGTAAACCCTGGACAAAGGATCAGAAAAATCATGGTTGTAATTTTGACTGTCACTTTTGCTTTCTGGGCCTCAGTTTTTTACATGGGGTCACTTTCTCCCAACTTGTTGGGGGCTTGTTGACAGAAGACACCCATGTGGACAGAGACACAAGGGGCTCATGAATTAACCAGATATTCTCCCAGTGGGGAACAATGGAGAAAAAAATGTTTATACTCAATACACTGTCATGCTTTCAACCCCCTAACCCTACCAGGTCCAACATAAACTGGTGGAATTTTGCAGCTAATTGTTTTTCTCCTGTCTTTTCTCCTTTCCGTATTGACTCCTCTTCTTTCCCTTTGAATTTCATGTGCTCAGAGTTCTGGGGCCCAGACCCTAGGTGGGTCCCAATAGTTGCTCCCTCTGTTTTCACATTCTCCCTCCAGCTTTGTTGCTTCCTGCTAGCTACCCAATCTCAGTGAATGTGAAAGGATTTTGCATCTGAGCCATGTGCCAGCTCCTGGCTGGTCCCCTACCCCACCCCCTTTTTACTGTTTGGATCGTATTCTCAACACTGAATGACTGTAAAATCTGAGTGCTTTTGATTTTCTGGTGTGAGGCTGTGATAGATTCCCATGAGCTGTCACTTCCCTAGGTACATCAAGAAACTGATAAATGGGGGGATAAGGACACATATGTAATATCTTGATCAATAAAAAAAAACAAAACAGAAAGTTCAAAAAATAAAACTGATAGCAATTGGGCCAATTCTGGTAGATTTGTCTGCCCCCACATATCTACACCCACCCCCCACCACCATCCAGCAATCCTCTTCCAAATATTTGATGTAAGCACCTTGTGTTCAGAGTCAGTCCCTCCCTTCCTTCTGGTATATTTTCCTTGAGTGCTTTTACTTACTTCCCTTACCCCATTCACAAGGAGAAATTTCCCATAAAGCTTCATTTTTCTCGCCTTCTAGGGGCATCTGCATTGTGGGAGTCAGATTGGAGATGTTCTCCATGGTCAGAAAAACAGGAGTGCACTTTCTCCTGAGGTTGAGGGGAAGCGCAGTTCACAGCCAGGAACCCAGGTTCAGAATTCACACTGCCTGCTTCTAACATTTAAGCAAGTAAGCATGTCCTCACTCTGAGCTTATCTGTTTTAAAAAGGGGTTGGACTAGATCCTCTAAAGTCTGGTCTAATTTAACAGGTCCTGAGTCTGATTTCATGTGCTAGAGCTTGGAAGAGGGGGAAGTGGCACCTCATTAGCATTTATCATGCCCCCCTCCTTCTCTTTTTTAAAATAAAAACAGTTTCTGTATTGAAAATAAAAACCTGAGGCTTATGACAAACTTCCTGTGTGAATCTTTCCTATGTTTCCTTACTAAATTCTTAAGTGTCACTCTGACATTTGTTACCATTGTATATATTTGTGTTAACATTATGAATAAACCTTGGTTATTTCCTCCTAGTGGCATGCTACTCAGGGGCAGTGTGGCTTTGGCCTTGACCTGGTGTCTAGCCAGGTTTTCTGTAGGCAGAATTAACAGAGATGCAGCCTGTGAGTGATTTCTCCAGTTATCCAGAGCTTTCTTTCCCATTTCTTTCTAAAAATAACTTACCGAAGGGGAAAAGATTGAGAACTAATTTTTAAATACTTTGCCCTTCTCTATTACTCTTGTCCCTTCAGAAGCATGAATCCTTATGTATGAATGAGAACAAAGCCATGTTTTTGTTTTGTTTGTTATTACTTTGTGAAGTCTTAGACAGAACATAGAGTCTGAACAAAAATAAAATTTTAGTTTATTGTTGTTGTTGTTTTTCTTTAGCACAGAGACAGCCAGCACTATTCAAATCACTCTACATTGTTGCCCTATAATGCTCTGGCTGTTCCAAAGTTACAGAGCCTGGTCACAAGCTTTCTTTGCCTCCAATTGCTATGCCTTTGGGTTCACACCTAACCTCCTGGAACATTTTCATTCTTTATAAAACAGGAGCAACATTACTTCACAAGGATGTGGTAAGAATTAAATGAGGTGACATGCAAAAATGTTTCTTTTCCTGAAGACATTTATAATCATAATGAGGGGACAAAATTTACACAGGAAAGAATTATAGCACAAGATAAGGCCATACCTTCATTCCTTCCTAAATCTAGATGTAAAATAACTTGATTAATTTGACAAAGTATGTTATAAATATTTATACATTTCTCATAGTTAAGCATGCAAGCTCTCATTGATTTTGGTCAGCAAGAGCATATATGAGGGATTTTGGAAAAAATGAATAAATGTAAGCATGATCTAGATATAAATGGCCTTGCCTCAGGTGTTGAACCAGACCCTGCACTTCAGCCCCTAATGAGGAGCGTGGAACTATATCCTTTGCTTGATTGTATCAGGCCCTTGATGCACATTGTGTTATTTCATTCTCACACCCACCTCAAATAGCTTTGTTTTCATTTCCAGAGAAGCTTGCTGGAATGCCACACCATAGTCAGGAAGGGATTCAGATTTGAATCCAGGTGTGTCTGCTTCCAAAATCTGTACCCCAAGTAGCCTTTAGACTTCAGCTGTTAACAGGTTGAACTTTCATTAAAGCTATGCAGTTCTGGCTAAAAAGCAGGGGCTAGTTTTCATATTCTTTGTGAGTGCCATGGAAGAGGCATTGAGCAAGACAACTGGTAAGATACCATGTTAGTGTGCAGGCAAAAGTGGGGGCCAGCCAATTTTGCCTCCCTTTCCCCTTTCTGCTCTCTCGTCCTCTCAGGACACTAAAATCTTCTTCCTCTCTATTCAGAAAGGAAGGATCCAGTAAATTAATTTATATTAAAATGTTAATAACCTAAGGGGCCATTCCTTCTAGGAAATGAATCTAGGTATCTGGGTAAGATTTCTTTGTATCCTTCAAATCATGGGAGAGGATGAACATCTCATCTATATTCCTCTAACAGGCAAGCCTGCTCAGTAGGGTGCCACACTTACCTTAACCAACCTAAACTGACAGGATGAGAGTGTTGACCCAGTGCCAAGATCTAGGAGCAGCAGTAGGGCATGGAGAGCTCGGGAGAGGCCAAAAGAAAGAAGATGGACCTAGAAGCCATTTAGGAGTGATGTTGGAAGCACTGAGTAGGAAACAGACATTGGACAAAGGTCCCATCTGGCAGAAAGCAATGGGGTACAACTTCAGAGCCTATACCTATGGGCTGGGGACAGTTGCTTTATTTTATAGTCTTCTATGATATAATATATATTGTTTCTGTTTTCCCAAAATGAGCATATTTGCTCAGACAACAAATTTGCTGAGCTCTTAATATATGCCAAGTATTGGGTCACATATTACTTTTATAATCTGAAAAGGTAAACATATAGTTAAAAAAAAAAAAAAAAAAAGCAGTAGCAAGAGGAAAGATAATCAGTACCCTGGGTTCATAAACTGATCTGGCTCAGAATCAGGTTAGAGCTCTTTTCCTTGCTCCAAGGCAAAGAGACCTAAAGATACCCCTGGACTCCTTAGAAAGGCAACAGTATGGGAAGGGTGGAAATGCCTGGACCAACCTAGTAAGGCTATGGTGTGTTCAGAGTTTTCTGGTGTAGGACACCACCTAAGTGCTTCACAGATATGTTTCATCCACTCCTCACAAGAACTCTGTGAGTTAAGAATTCCTGCTATACCCATTTTAGAAACAATATGAGACCTGACCAAAAAACAAACAAACAAACAAACAAAAACAAACAAAAACACCCACTAAGAAAGTCTCCTAAACAGTATGGCATTTCCTCAAAAATTTAAAAATGGAACTGCCATTTGACCTAGTAATACCACTTCTAGGAATATATCCTAAGAAAACAGAAACCCCAACCAGAAAGGATATATGCACCCATATGTTCATAGCAGCACAATTTACAATAGCTAAGATTTGAAAACAGCCTAAATGCCCATCAGTAGATGAGTAGATTAGAAAACTATGGTACATCTACACAATGGAATACTAGGCTGCTATCAAAAAGAAGGAAGTCTTACCATTTGCAGCAGCATGGATGGAATTGGAGAACATTATGCTAAGTGAAATAAGCCAGTGAAATAAGTCAGTGGAAAAAAAAAAAAACACACCACATGATCTCACTCATTTATGGATAATAAAGAACATTATAACCTGATGAACAAAAAGATAGATACAGAGGCAGAGAAGCATCGAACAGACCATTAAATTACAACAGGAAGGCTGGGGAACAGAGAGGAAGGCAAGAGATCAACTGAAGGACTTATATGTATGCATATAAGCATAACCAATGGATGCAAGACACTGGGGTAAGAGTGAGGGGGTAAGAGAGACTGGGGGAAGGTCAATGGGGGTGAAAAAAGGGACACATATGTACTACTATTTGTAATACTTTAAACAATAAAAAAATAAAATAATGTTTCCTAATGGATAACTGGGCTAAAACAAAAACAAAAATAGCCTAGCAGTCATTTCTACACAGGGGACTTTTATACAAACTATAAAGAAGCTGCATTGAACTGCCTGTCTGTATCTGCCATGTGAATCAGCCCTTATAAAAGCTTCTGGAATCCTATTTTAACCAATAACACAGAGGTTTTTCTACATCCAATTGGAGCTTACAGCTCTGACCAACCAGAGTGGCTCTATTCTGACCAATCAAACTGGGAGGATATGAAGCCCTTATTTCAATGAGGACAGATGAATCAGGTGGCAGAGATGGGGACTTCTACTATATAAGCCAGCTCTCCTCTGGCTCTGAAAGTGTACTTTCCCTCCACCAAGACTCAGTCTCCTTTGCTGAACTAAACACCAAAGATGTCTTGCTGGAGCAGAGAGCAGGCAAAAGCAGAATGGAGCAAAGCAAAGGAGTACAGCACAAAGCAGACCAGCACAGAGCAGAGCTATCTGGCCTGAGAAGGGCCTGGCCCCAGAACTGTCCTATAGCTCTCCTATATCACAATTGAGCTGCTTTGCACTGAATCAAGTTTCTTTCTTCACCACACTACAAATTAGAGAGTCCTGTTGCTGTTGAATTGGGGCCAATAGTGATCATCAGTTGGCAGGCTTAAGGAAGGTATCTTGATTTAAGTCATTTGGTTGGCAAGCAGCAGAGCCAAGGGCCTAAGTTTGTGTTAACTGTCGTTGACCTTCTTTTAAGGACAATCACTCTCCAACACATCTTACTTGAGGCCCAGGGTGAGGGCTGTAACACCAGCTCTGCATTTTACTCTGAGTTCAAGTATACTTGGGCCCCTACTCTCTTGAAGATTCTGGAGCAAAACAGATCTGGCTCTCCCTCTGACTTTTTTGGGAAGGAGAACACCAATTGCTGGGCCTAAAGGTTACATAATAAAAAAACACCCATAGTACAGCTTCTTTTTCCTTATGCCTTATTTAATACTCAAAGATCAGCAGGAAATAAGTGAAAGCCATCATACCTTGGCATTCGGAAATCCCAGCTCAAATTACTATATGAATGTTTAAGTGACTGAACATATCCCTCAAAACTGAAATACGGCTGAGAGCCTTCCTAGGCAGAGAAAATGGTTTATAAAATCAGTATAAGTAACACTATATCAAGCAATGTCCACACTGCCCATCATCTAATTATACCTCCCTCCTCTCACTCCCCTAACTAGGATCAAGACAGCTGGCAGAAAAAACTTATGGAAATCCACCCAAAGTTCAGAGGCTTGCATTGGATAGCAGTCACAGACAGCTGCTCCCCTTCATGTTTTGGTCACAGGGTTGGCTTCTGTCCACCTTGAGCCATCTCTGCTATTTAGGAGCAGAGCCAGAGAGGTGGGAGAGACATCTGTTCTTGGAGGGGCTCTTCTGGGCAAAGCAGGATTTTATTTAGCTATGGTTCAAAATAATACAAAAAGAAAGGCCTGGCTTGCTTTATACAAATTCTTCAAGCTCTTGGCATTTGGCTGACAGCAAACACCACAGTCCAATTGACAGAATTTCCAGCACTACGGTGACTAGTGTGAGATTTGGGGGCTCTAGGGTCCCAGTAAGAAAAATTAAGGAAGATCAAAATCAAGGTGTCTATATTTTAAAGGTATCATTTCACATATGAATATCCTATATAATAAAGAGGCAATATGCAAATTGACCATTACGCCCTCGCACAAGATGGCCATAGCCATGTAGTCACAAGATGGCTGCCACATGATGGCCTGCAGGGGAGGGCAGTTGGAGGGGACCAAGCCTGCAGGGGAGGACAATTGGGGATGACGAGGCCTGCAGATGAGGGCAATTGGGGATGACAAGGCCTTCAGAGGACAGTTGGGGGATACCAGGCCTGCAGGGGAGGGCAGTTGGGGGTGATGGGGTCAGCATAAGAGCAGTAAGGCATCGATCTGGCAGGGCAGTGGTCAGGGGGTGATCAGGCAGGCAGGCGAGCTGTTGGGAGCCAGCAGTCCTGGATTGTGAGAGGCATCCCAGATTGGAGAGGGTGTAGAATGGGCTGAATGACACCCCCACCAAGTGCATGAATTTCGTGCACCAGGCCTCTATATATACATATAGAGACAAAAGTATACGCCTTTCTTTCAATGCTCTTGTCTAGGAGGCACTATGTATCTGGCCTCTCTGGTTCCATATTGTCCCAGCCAGAGTTATTCTGAAGCTCTTGGAATAAAAGCTGTTGCTGGAGGCTTCTCAGGCTCTCCAGGGCCTCATGGGAGAGTTGCTTGGCAGACATTCCCAGGTTCTGCTTTGTTTCCTCTTCCTCCATTTCCACCAGTCCATCAGGGGGTTGTGGGGAGCTCCTGGAGATGTAGCCCTGGTCAGACTGCACTGACTCCCGCTGTCCCTCTCCATAGGGTATGTATGGGTCTTTGAGGACCACCACAGGTCTCTCCCACCCCTCAGAGGTCTGGCAGCTCAGACTTTGCTGGGAGAGTGAGAGTATCAAGCCTTCAAGCTGCCCCCTTTCATCCTCTGAGAGGTGGTCTGGTGATGCCATCGGGGTGCTACAGAGAGGTGGGTCCTCTGACTCCTTGGGGAGGAAGAGGACACTGTTCTGCTGAGGGTTCCAGCGTTCCAGCAGCGGGCAGGCCTCATCTCCTTCCACAATGGCCAACTGACTGGCTGTGCTGCTCCTAATAGCAGGAGGGGCAGGTACCACATCTTGAGTAGGAGGGACAGCCTTCAGGGGGAGCACCATGGTATGAAGGGTTTGGGCCACCAGCTGACCCTGGGGCTGAAGCTTAGGTTGTAGCCTGGCCACTCCTCTGCCTTCCTCAGTGATGAGCAATGCCACCACTAGGTGGCCCTCAGCAGCAGGCTCCTGCACCAGGGGCTCCTGTTTCACAATTCCTCTTCCAGGTGGCAGTAGCCACTCTGCAGACACCTCTTCATTCAGGGACAAAGTATCCTGGCCATCTGCTGAGCAGAGGTTCTCATGCTCAAACCAATCAGGGTACTGAGCCTGCCACTCTCTGAATCTCTCCACAGCTTCCTTGAGCTGCCAGCCACTGGGACTCTGCAGGTAATTCTCCCCTGTGAGCTCCCCAATGCGGTGCATCCGGCCAGGTTCATACATCTCCAGGTCCTGAATCCGAAAGTAAACCTCCTCAAATCTGTCCATGAGTGGGTACCTAGAAGTGATGTTGAAGAGGTCTGGGATATCATTCTCACTGCTGATGTCACTAAAGTAGCATATGATGTAGGTGCCAAAGCAGGCAGGCTTCTTGAAATCTGGCAGAATCATGTTCATGGCTGCTGTGAAAAGGTCCCCAGCAAGCTTCTGGTGGTCACATCGAAGCTGGACAGCAGGCTCCTCCCAGCCAAGTATGGCCTGCCACTTGGCCCGGGTACCTCGGGAACACAGGATGATGATCTTGGAATTGCTCTCTACCATCTCCTGCTTCTGCCGGCCCACCCAGGTCATGACCCCCATCTCTGAGATGATCTGCTCCTCCAGCAGGTCGAGGGTCACTTCAGTGGCACAAACAGTAAGCAGGAATTGAGCGAACTTTAGGACCACATCCACAAACAGAGGGTGGTCAGCGGAGTAGACAATCCAAACCTTTCTGGGCTTGAGGGGAGGGGGCATCAGGCCAGTGGTGGGCAGGACATCTGGGGGAAACAAAACAAGCCAAGCTCACAGGTTCAGGTTTGTGTCTGTGCTGACCTTACACCACAGGCCAAGGGGAGGGACCCAGACCAGGCAGAGCTTGGTTCCCTGGATTAAGAAATGCAACCGAGGTCTAGGAGTAAACCAGATATTGCTATTTTACCTATTTTGGCTTCATGAAAAAAATCAGTCTGGTACCTTCTGGAAAAAAGAATCTCTCACATTTCTAACTGGCCTTCAGCCTATGTAAGTTCATAAAAAAGAAAAAAATAGAAACAAAGCCTAACTATGGAACAAGGATGGCCACTTTTTAAAAAAATTAAATTTTTATTGTTTTCAGAGAGGAAGGGACAGGGAGAAAGAGATAGAAACATCAGTGATGAGAATCTCTGATTGGCTGCCTCCTGCACATCCCCTACTGGGGATCAAGACCATAACCCTGTCTAGGAATCGAACCCAGCACCTCTTGGTCCATTGGCCAACACTCAATCCACTGAGCCACCACAGCCAGGCCAGGGATGACCTTTTTTTCCCCCTACAAAATATGATTAGTACCTTACCTCCTTTCTTTGTCCAAGTGATTAAAAAAAACAACAACAAAAAAACCCCACAAAACTTTTGCCCCAGATATGCCATTTAAGGTGGCCTCTTTGGGGATGAGGTCTTCTGAAGGGACTCAGGAGTTACACTGCAGAAGGTGACCCAACCATTATCTCAGGAGAACCCTCCATCACATCTTTAAAAATAAACACATACCTTCTCTCTCATCACTGATGTTTCTATTTCTTTCTTCCTCTCCCTTTCTCTCTGAAATCAATAAAAATATATTAAAAAATAAAAATAAACATAGGCTAAACCCAGCATACCCACACCAGGAAATACTGACCTGTGTCTCTGGTGTCATTGCCATGTTTTTCATGATGAGATCCTGAAATAAAAAAACATCATAGTTTTTGTTTTGTTTTGTTTTGTTTTGTTTTTTAAACTAGGGACTAACTCACAGAGGCATCTGACAGAAGAGTGCTGTCCCACCCCTAACAAAGAGCAACTAATAAGGGAGGGCAGCCAGAGGCAGGGAAATTGTGCTGTGTGGAGCTGCTCAGATGTGAATCTCAGCCAGCCATGACAAGCTGTGAGACATGGGAAAATCTCTATAAAATGGGTCTGTGGTGGGTGATTAAATGAGATTGTTTACGTGTCCAACACATATTCAGTCAGCTGAAGTCACAAGTATTCTGTGGAACGGACCCAGCCAGAACCCCTAGAATGGTGACTGAGGTACCTCATTACAGTCCTGGTTGTACTCTTCCCACAATTTGGCCACTCCCAAGGAGACTCTTCACTTGAGGAAAAGCCCTTCCCCAGAGGTGTCTTTTCGGAAAGCATAAATCTTACAATATATTTCCCCAACAGTAGCCTCCAAAAGGTGCATTTACATTTTCTCATAATATTTTTGAAGCGAGGAAAGGAAACCAACATACATGAGCAATTGCCCCCCTCAGAGATGCAATGAATGAAACTTAGTGCAGGAGTCAAGGTGATACAGACGGGAGAAGAGAACCCATAGACGGTCAAGGAAGACCCTTACTGTAGAACCTTCATTTTAATCCCCACCCTTTGGGCCTCTTTCCAGAACTGTCAAAAGACAAGTAGATAATGAGGTTTCTTTCCTATCTTTTCTATCCTTTAGCCTGCATGTGGCACTTCAGGAAAGGTCAGAAGTGCAAAAGGAGTAATGAAACAAGAAGTCTATAGAGATGGATATCTATAAAGAACTTTATGGTTTATAAAACACTTGCAGAGACATTTAACTCATTTTACTGCCAGCTATCCTAGGAAGGACTTCTCTCCATAGGTATTCTGATGTCTGGTTTGGTATTCTTTCCACCACATGATAATTAATACTGATTAAATAATCCTAATGAGCCTTGTAAGTGTGGAAATGGCAGCCCAGATCAACGAAGAAGGAGTCCAGGGTTATGGAGGGGCAGGGAAAGGTCGAATCCCCTAACCTGAAAATCCATGTTCTCTCTTTAGAACCTGGCCAGCGAGGACTGTAGTCTGGAGGGGGAACCAATATTTGTTAATACCCACCAAAAAGCACCTTCCCTGCTATATCTTTTAACCTATCCACAGATGTGAGAGGGAGGCATTATGACTCTATTTTCTAAAAAAGACAACCAACTCTATGGTTTATTAAGCAACTTGCCTATAACTGCAAATCAATGAACTGGGGTATACAACGCTGTGCTCTGGTTCCCCATAGCTTTCCCTATCATAACATGCTGTCCCTTGTCATGCTACTCTCCCTGACCTCAAGAGTACAGTCTGGAGACTGCTCCAGGATGGGGTCGCTCAGGTTGTTCCACCTGTCTGGCTGATCATGTCTTTTACAGGAAAATTCCACTGTAATTCCTTCCAACCTGTTGATTTTTAAAAATTGATTTTAGAGAGAGGAAGGTGGGTGGGGGAGGAGAGATTGAATTGTTGTTCCATTTATTTATGCATTTACTGGTTGATTCTTGTATGTACCTTGATCAGGAACTGATTCTACAACCTTGGCATATTAGAATGATGCTCTAACCAAATGAGCTACATGCTCATGGCCCCAACCTGTTGATTTTAATATTAATTTCAGTGGCAATAAATATAATTGTGGCTAACATGTAATAAGCAAATATGTGCCAAATTCTATGCTAAGAATCCATGTGCATTATCTCATGTAATTTTTATAATTGTTTGATGATGTGGGCATCATAATTTCCACTTGGATATAAGAGGAACTTGAGGCTTAGAGAATTAAGTAATTTTCCCAGATGCTAAGTGATGGAGCTGGTATTTGAGTCCAGTCAGGTCAGCCTTACTGCAGGCTCTAATTGATCACAGAGGTGACATTTGTACAAATTTGAGATTGAAGGGTGCCTGCTGAGCAAAGCATTACAGAAATTGGAGTGGGGAAGGGGGAAATGAGCAGAAAGAGAAGAACAGAGGGAAAACCCCAGGATCCGCACCACAGAGTTTGCCCCTTACCAGATAGCCTCCAGGTCATGCAGAGGATCAGCAGAATGATGCAGCCCACCATCAGGATGGAGATGCCCGTGATGAAACCATACATCCACAGGGAAATATACTCTGTGACAAGCAGAACAGCATGATGTGGCAGGGAGGCCTGGTATGCCAACCTGAGCCTGCACCATGACATGATGGTGATCTCATCCACCCCTGGGCAACTTTGTATGCCTGGCTTGGGACCAGGCTCAGTCAGAAACTTCTCATGTGGCCCCTGAGAAATGTCCCCTTGGGTCTCCCACAACATACTATGTGAAGGATTGGTGGCCTTACCTGCAATTGGGTCTCCTATAAGAACAAAGGAAAATAGTATTTCAATTTTTAACAGTAATCACAAAACCATTACTGACATTCACTGAGGACATGCTAATGCCCGTGGCCCTATACCAACCCTATACCAACGTTATTTATTCATTTATCCTCACCCAAGAATATTTTTCCATTGTTTCTAGAGAGAATGGAAGCGAGGTGGAGAGGCAGAGAGAAATATTGATGTGAGAGAGACATATCGATTGGTGGCCTCCCACATGAGCCCTGACCAGGGCCAGAGATCAAGCCTGAAACCAAAGTACATCCTCTTGACCAGAACTGAATCCAGGACCTTTCAGTCCACAGGACTCTATCCATTGAGCCAAACCGGCTAGGGCTCAACCACTTTAGATACAGGTTTAACTTGATGAAACCACCTAAATGAAACACCTGAGTTTCTAGGCTACTAAGTAATGCCCCACCCTTCAGTTGGCAGGCTGAGGTTTGTGTTGAAACCAGGGCAATTCCTGTTGCTTTCTGCTCAGTTTTGACTATAGCCACAAGTTAGGCCTCTGAACAGCCTCTGCCACTTCCTCAGTGTATGATCTTGGACAAGTTACATATCTCGGCCTCAGTTTCTTCATCTATGAACTTGGGGGCAGGAGTTTCTACTTCTAGGTACTTTGGTTCACAACTTACAAAGATTTTGTTCTGTACATGGAATATAATTGTAACTCTATGACAGTAACAATCCCCATGTTTTCAGTCACAAAAGTTGAGGATCAGAAAGATTAAGTACTTTACCCAAGTCTACACAGCTAATACAAGGCAGTCGGGAGTCTAACCCAGGAGTGTCTCTCTAAAGCCCTGCATTACAGGCCTGAATAACTCCAAATTAAACTCTGCTCTCACCCTTAGGATCAGGTCAGGGTTCAGCTCAAGTTGTTGACCTTCATTTATTCTTACCCCAATTGTGTTCCAAAATAGTCATCTGCTTCCTACCTGGAATTTTTGGACAGGAAACATTCACGGAGTGTCTACGGCAGTCATTCAGACAGCTGCTAAAGAAGGGCTGGATCTATGAGACCAGAGAAGGGCAGGGAAGACAGGGACTGGAGACACAGGACCCCCATCAACGCTTTCCTGACAGAAGAGTAATGGACCCTGGCTGACTGCTTAGTATCTCAGTGTGGCAGTCAGGTGGCCACCCATCCATCATTAAGAGGAGCCCTGCCCAGGTGAGGCTGGCAGAGAAGGCCTTCCAGTCAGGGAGTCCCAGATGGAAGTGGCGTTGGGTCCTCAGAGAGAGCACCAGTCACAAATTGCCGTCTCCCCTCCTTCATCCCTATAGAAGGATTGCCCACCTGAGCATGCTCTCTCTGTTATATCACACTCACCCACCTGCACTTGGTGGTGGCAGCACCAATTAAAGTTTGGTATGGTGAGCGTGACATTCGATCGCTGGCGGAAGTCCTCTCGTGTGGGCTAAAGAGAGGGGAAAGGATAGGTGAGGCTAGCTAGATGAGAGCTGGCCACATTGCTGCAGAATTGATGACAACATTCCCCACTACTGTCAGTGTGCCACACAAAGGCTACAAGAGAAATGCCTTCAGGTTTCTGCTCCAGGTCTGTTGTTAACTTATGAACACAGCCGGTGACAAGTATTTCCCTCTGCATTAGCTGCTAAGGACCATGGAGACAGATCTGTGCTCACCCCCAGCAGCGTTGCATACATTTTCTGTACTCATCTCACCCTGGCTCCAACTTATTTGCCTCATCTTTATTTCCCTTTTGTCTTCATTTCCGTATTTTAAAAATCTTCAAATCCTTTTTGAAATAAGTAGAATAAACAAAGTGGAACAAATAGAGAATAGCGGAGATGTGGGAGGGAAGGACAAAAAGGATGGGATGGTGAACAGGGCAGAGACCAACTAACTACAGACATTTAGAGCAAAAGGAAACCTCAACAATAGAATCAACTACTAGTATGTATCAACTACATACCAAAGGGCATAGCACTGAGCACTAGACTTCTGGCAATACAGTTTTGTCAGGACCATTAAGGAGACGCTAAGGCTTGGAGAGGTGGCTCTGAGCTATGCTTGAGGGGTTAAGAGTGGCAAAGTTACCGCAGGTATATCCAGTATATGTTTGAAACATCTCTGATGATCTGTGCGTGGGAAACTGTTCAGTAGGATCTGGTAATGGGTAGATTCATCCCACAGAGTGAAGCTCACCCGCAGCCGGTAGGCTTCCAGGGTCTCCACGGAGATGTTGGGATCCCACAGGCTACCTGCCCAGGGCACAGACATAGGCTGAAAGTGAGAAGAGGGCATGTATGTGTACCCAAATAAAGCTCCCCTGGCATGCCAGCCAAAGTTACCTGAACTCACACAGGGCCTGGTCATCTTCATCTCGGGGTCCTCACAGTCTGCAGACCCAGAAAAAAAAATGAAACCATTAAGTCTCTGCCTTATAAAGTTTACTGTTCTTCCAGAATGCTGATACCAAAAATAACATTCTTTTCCTTCTGGAGAGCCTATACAAGGATGGCCCCTTCAAAGCAAGCTCTAGGACTGGACTGTGGCCATTGGTCAGAGGCCCCAGAGCACTGAGACTGACCTCGTTGTCTCATCCCTTCTCTATCAGGGAACTGTCTAGTTTCAAATGTATTTCACCTGAGCTTGCTTTAGATAACCAAAGTCTTTGGCCACTTCTGATCCATCTCTCCCCACTGTAGCTTATTCTCTAGAGTTGTCTCTGCCTTTTTAAGAGGGGAGAACTTTGTTCTTTGTTCCTCCATGCAGTGTTTCTTAAATTTTCATGTGTGCAATCATCAGTAGTTTCTGATTCAGCAAGTCTGGAATGGCTCCTGAGAATTTGCATTCAATGACATTGTTGGTTCTGGGACTACCTTAAGGACCACTGCTCCACAGATATCATCATTATTTCCTCCTTCTTCTTCTTCTTCTTCTTCTTCTTCTTCTTCTTCTTCTTCTTCTTCTCTTCTTCTTCTTCATCCTCTTCTCCTCCTCCTCCTCCCCCTCCTCCTCCTCCTCCTCCTCCTCCTCCTCCTCCTCCTTCTTCTTCTAAAATAAATCTTTATTGCTCAAATTATTACAATTGTTTCTCCTTTTCCCCCCCATAGCTCCCTTTCACCCGGTTCCTGCCCCTGCCCCACCCACTGCCCTTACCTTCTCTCCCTCCCGCCCCCCCCCCGCCATTGTCCTCATCCGTAGGTTATATGATTTTAATCCAGTCTCTTCCAGCACACTCCCACACCCTTTTTCCCCTGATAATTATCAATCCACTCTCTTTCTTTGCCCCTGATTCTATTATATTCACCAGTTTATTCTATTCCTCAGATTTTTAATTCACTTGATTTTTAGATTCACTTGTTGATATATATATATATATATATATATATATATATATATATATATATATATATGTATTTGTTGATTATAATTTTTATATTTTTTCTTCCTCTTCCTCTTATTAAAGAATACCTTTCAGCATTTCATATAATACTGGTTTGGTGGTAATGAACTCCTTTAGCTTTTTCTTATCTATGAAGCTCTTTATCTGCCCTTCAATTCTGAATGATAACTTTGCTGGATACAGTAATATTGGTTTTAAGTTCTCAATATTCATCACTTTGAATATTTCTTGCCACTCCCTTCTGGCCTGCATAGTTTCTGTTGAGAAATCAGCTGATAGTCATATGGGTGCTCTCTTATAGTTTTTCTCTTGCTGCTTGTAAGATTCTTTCTTTGTCTTTTGCCCTTGGCATTTTAATTATGATGTGTCTTGGTGTGGTCCTCTTTGGATTCCTCTTGTTTGGGGTTCTGTGCACTTCCTGTCCTTGTAAGTCTATTTTTTTTATTTTTTTATTATTTTTTTTTTAAATATATTTTATTGATTTTTTTACAGAGAGGAAGGGAGAGAGATAGAGAGCTAGAAACGTCGATGAGTGAGAAACATCGACCAGCTGCCTCCTGCACACCCCCCACCGGGGATGTGCACGCAACCAACGTACATGCCCTTGACCGGAATCGAACCCAGGACCTTTCAGTCCACAGACCGACGCTCTACCACTGAGCCAAACCGGCTTCGGCTTTTTTTTTTTTTTACCAGCTGGGGGAAGTTTTCTGCCATTATTTCTTCAAATAGGTTTTCAGTAACTTGCACTCTCTCTTCTTCTGGTATCCCCATAATTCTGATGTTGGTACGCCTGAAGTTGTCCCAGAGGCTCCTTACACTATTTTCAACTTTCTGGATTCTCTTTTCTTCTTGCTTCTCCAGAGAAGTGTCCTTTGCCCCTTTATATTCCAAATCTTTGACTTGATTCATGTGATCCTCTAGTCTGCTGTTGGATCTCTGTATAATATCATTAAATTTGTCGGCCTTTTCTAGGAAATTCTTGAAAAACCTTATAAGTATGGTTTGAACACTATATCCAATCTTTTGTTCTCTTCCATCTCTTTTGTTTGAGATCTATTTCCTTGTCTCGGCATTTTTGCTGCTTCCCAGAGTTGGTAGGATCGCTTTGTGTGTTTGGTGTCCTATATGGCCCAGTGGGTCAGTCTCCCCAGTTACCTGAAGTAGATACTCTTGGTGCTCCCCTTGTGGACTGCATGAATAGCTTTATTGTAGTTAAGACTTGATTGTTGTAGGTATCACTGGGAGAAATTGACCTCCAGGCCCATTGGATGTGAGTATCAGCTGTATCTACTCCAGGATACCTTCTGCATTGGAGACAGCCTTATAGGATCAGACTTGCAAAACTGCAAAAGCCTCTGGGGTGGAGTCTCAGGGCTGAGCTGACAGTCTTGGCTTACCATCAGTCCTGCCCTTGTGTGCTCACCTGAGTTTCCGCCTGACCTCTGCCTTCCACAGCTCCTCTGAGTTTCTGCCTGACTGTTCAGATTCCCCATGCAAGAGTGTGGGTGCCCCAGAGGCTTGCCCAGAATTGGGTTGGGTCTCTGTAGTCTGGAGCTTCTCCATTATGGAGAGGCTGTGGCAACCTTCTTGGTCAGACCTCTCTGTGTGCACTCACTAATGCGTGACTGTAGACCCTGCCTGCTGCAGCTCCCGGCTCCCCCAGTCTCCCAGTCTCTGAGTCTCCAGGTGCCTTTCTCCGGACTCCACCCATATGAGCCTGGGTCCATGGGGTTTTGGCCGGGGTTGGGGTTCAGTACAGTTGGAAAGGGTTCAGTGCAATCGGGGACTTCCTTTCCCCTCCTGCCAACCAGGCTTTTGGCCACCCTTCTGCACACAAGCATCTCCCTATCTCAGCACTTTGCAGCTCCCAATCCGATCCGTGAGCCTCTCTCCTTCTTTCTAGTTGTAGAATTCTCACTCCACCAGCTTTCCTGTGGATTTGGATGATGTCCATTCTGTCTTTTAGGTTTGTTTTTTTTTTTAATATATATATTTTATTGATTTTTTACAGAGAGGAAGGGAGAGAGATAGAGAGCTAGAACGTCGATGAGTGAGAAACATCGACCAGCTGCCTCCTGCACACCCCCCACCGGGGATGTGCCCGCAACCAACGTACATGCCCTTGACCGGAATCGAACCCAGGACCTTTCAGTCCGCAGACCGACGCTCTACCACTGAGCCAAACCGGTTTCGGCTATCTTTTAGTTGTTTTGAAATTGTTGTGTGAGGCAGCAGCTTAGGCTGCCATCTTGGTTTCTCTCCATAGATATCTTCTTGATCTCTACCAATTTCCTTGACTGTAACATTATTATTTTATTTGTTTTATTTTTTAAATATACTTTTATTGATTTCAGAGAGGAAGAGAGAGATGAACACATCAATGATGAGAACCACTGATTGGTTGCCTCCTATAAGACCCACATTGAAGATCAAGCCCACAACCCATGCATGTGCCCTGACCTGGAGTCAAACCATGACCTCCCGGTTCATAGGTAAACACTCAACCACTGAGACATGTCAGCCAAGCTTTACTTTGGTTTAAGAAGACATGTGACAGGTATGAATTGCCATTGCCACAGTGTGATAGGGACCGAGTCAGTCTACTTTAAGGACGGGGAGGAAATTGGGGGACATTCACTCATTCAACAAATACTTATGGAGCTCTCAATATGTGCCAGGTACCATTTCAAAAACTGGAAATATAATGGTAAATAAGACAATGTCCCTGTCCTCTAGAGATTACATTCCAGTAGAAGAGAGCAATAAAAACAAACAACATGTCAAAAATCTTATCTAATAAAAGAGTAATATGCAAATTGACCATACCTCTACTACACCCCAAGCTATGCCCACCAACCATGCCCACCAGCCAATCAGAGTGAGTATGCAAATTAACTCCAAGATGGCTGTGGCCACAAAGAGCAGGAGGGAGGCTTGGGTTTCCCAGGCAATGGAAGAAGCCAAGCTTTCCACTTGATCATGCCAGCCTAGGCCTCCACTCAAGGCTACAAAGTTTCAATTATAGAAGGTAAACAAATCCAAGAAGAAATGGTGACAGCCATGGAGCAAGCAGGAGGTTTGGCTCCACTCCAGGCTACAAGTTTCAATTGTGGAAGGTAAATAAATTCCAGATACCAGGGCCTCCACTTGTGTCGTCAGGGGGCATGGCTGGCCTGCAAACCACCACAGGCCCCTTGCCCAGGCAGCCCAATGCCCCAAGGGAACCCCCACCCTAATCTTGGACACCCTTCAGGACAAACCAGCTGGCCCCCAAACACGTACCAGGCCTCTATCCTATCTAATAAAAGAGTAATATGGCCAGAACCGGTTAGGCTCAGTAGATAGAGCGTCGGCCTGTGGACTGAATGGTCTTGGGTTCGATTCTGGTCAAGGGCATGTACCTTGGTTGCGGGCACATCCCCAGTAGGGGGTGTGCAGGAGGCAGCTGGTCGATGTTTCTCTTTCATCGACGTTTCTAACTTTATGTCCCTCTCAATTCCTCTCTGTATAAAATCAATAAAATATATTTTTTAAAAAAAGAGTAATATGCAGACTGACCATCACTCCAACACACAAGATCAAGATAGCTGCCCCCATGTGTTCAAAGATCCTGCCTCCCATGTGGACACAAGATGTCCACCACAAGATAGCCAGCAGGAAGGGCAGTTGGGAAGGACCAGGCCTGCAAGGGAGGGCAGTTGTGGTGATCAGGCAAACAAGGGAGGGCAGTTGGGAGGAATCAGGCCTGCAAGGGAGGGCAGTTGGGGGGATCAAGCCTGCAGGGGAGGGCCGTTAGGGGTGACCAGGTTGGCAGAGGAGGGAAATTGGGGGCAAATAGGCTGGCAGGGGAGCAGTTAGCCATCAATTAGGCTGGCATGGGAGTAGTTAGGGGGTGATCAGGCTGGCAGGCTGAAGTGGTTAGGGGCAATCAGGAAGGCAGGCAAGCAGTTGGGAGCAAGCAGTCCTGGTTTGTGAGAGGGATGTCCAACTGCCTGTTTAAGCCCGATCCCATGAATCAGGGAGTGATAAGTAAGAAAAAAGAAAATAAAGTAGGGTATGTGGATAGTGAGTATGTGTATGTGTGTGTGTGGATAGTGAGTATGTGTGTGTGTGTGTGTGTGTATGTGTGTGTATAGTGAGTATGTGTATGTGTGTGTGTGTGTGGCGATAGTGAGTATGTGTATGCGGAATTGCTCCACAGATGGAAGTCATCCTCATTCTAACAAGCATTTCCTGGTCACAAGCCAATTTGTGAGGTTCTAGTGACTACACAAATGAATATAAGGCTCAGATCCTGTCCTCAGAGAGGCTGATGCTCTAGATATAGTGATTTTCAACAATAAAAAGTGTTGTAAGTAGTGGCTGAGATTCTGGGGAGGGCAGAAAAATAGAAAGTGCACATTGAATGCTGCTTTAATAGATAAATCTAGCAGTATTCATAGGCAGGATGGATTAGTGGGGAAAGAGATGGTGTCATATATTGGGTGGTGGTAGATAAATGCAGGCAGGACGTGGGGTGAAAGTGAAGAACAAGGTTATAGAAGCTGGGATGAGGCTGGAAGCAAGAGTTACAACTCTTCCAAAAGTGGTTTGTCTTCCTGATACTTTCTAGGCAGGAGCATGCTTCTCTAGATAGGAAGGAACTCCAGTTCCCATAAAACTCCTGGGGTCTTGGGCCAATATCCACTGTTTGTGCCAACAGAGAATGGGCTTTGTCTTCAGGGAGTAGAGGTTGAGACCACATACAGAAGGACTCCCCATCCCTGGTATCTATTTGTTCTGTGAGTACCATACGCTGACAATGGCAGCATTGTCAGCTGATCAGGGAGGCTTATGTCTGGGCCATTTGTTGGTTTCTTCTGAAGAGCCATGTGGTGAAGGGAAGGGCTTGTTATGGCACTCTTACCTGGAACAGGAAAGTTTCTTGACTGGTGGTTTGGGTCCCCATCAGGGATAGGCTTGGGTAGGTGGTGAATGGTCACTTCATATTCCTGGCCAGGTTCTACCACAAAGTGGCTAAAGGTAAAACGCCACTGAAGAAAAGGGAGGAAGGGAAGGTTGGACAAGGTCACACACAATACCTCTCACACAGCTATTTCCAAAGAACCCTCCTACCCCCATACCCAAAAGATCAGTGAAAAAATAAGAAGAAAAACATCACAAGATCCAAAATCAGAGGTTTCTGTATCTTTGCTCTTTGTTTCCTCTTGTCTTTCCTTCCTATTTCAAAAAACCTAGACCTGGCCTCATCAATATAGTGTCATATACAAGAGAATCTGGGGAAAGCCCTCCTCCTACATCAGCCCTCCCAAAGTACAGAACAATGGTGTCAAAATCCAGCTCAGGTATTAAAGAGCTGGCACACAAAAGGCGGCTAAAAGCTATTTGTTAAGTGACTCTTCTTCCTCAAATAGGAAAGCCAGGAAGCTCTTAAGATTGTTCTGGAGCACAAAAGTACAGAAGGAAGGATAGAAAAAGACCTAGTCATCCTGGGCCTATAGGCACCTTTATTTCAGAGATGACATATTGTAAATGGAGAGATCTTATGGAGGGTGCATATAACAGATACCAACTTCAACTTCCATTCTAATTACCCTGGTGGGGTCCTTTGCTTTTAAGTATCTAGGCACCTGGTCCTCACCATGTACCTATTACTCAAGTTTGGGGGCTAATGAAACTTGGGAGAGGAAAATGTGTTTGTGGGAGATCTGCAAATGGCCATTTTTTGCAGATATAAACTAGCAGTTTTCAAACTGGAGCTTGCATCAGAATCACTTGGTGGATTTGTTGAAGGATTGCCACCTGAGTTTCTGATTCAGCAGGTCTAAAGTAAGGCTCTAGAATTTACATTTCTAACAAGCCCAGGTCATGCTGATGTGCAGTTCTGGGACCACATTTTGAAAACAACCACTTTAAACAAACTAAATGAGAATCAACATTTTACCATCTGGCCATGAACAGCAATGTGACCTGAAATTGTGCAGAACTCATTTGCTTGTGCTCCGCCCACAGTTTTCTGGTGTTGGCAAAATTGTTCTTTTCCAAAAGTAGGGCCCAGATTAATATCAGTTACAAATAAATGTGGCAGGAAGCACGACAGGGGAAGTCCTCTCCCCATTCAACTTTCTTTACAATGACTAACTAGGGAAAGTTGAAAGAAAAAGCAGGGGGTTGGCATGTCTAGAAAGTTTTCAAAAACATGTTCTGCTCATCGTGATCATCATAGGACCATAATTCATCCAGGAGCTTGATTCTTACCCGTTTGTCATGATGCTGCAGTTTAGAGAGAAACTCAAACTTGACACACAAACGCTCATTGGTGTTCAGCTGCAGGACAGATAGCTCTGCACCCTCCAGGTAGAGAATGCTGGCTGAAAACCAGAGGAGAGGAGACACAGATTCAAATGAGTAAGACAAACCATTGGGTGTGTCACTTTCCTGTTGGTTAGGCTTGCTCACTATTAAAAGAAAATCTGTCCGTCTTACACAACCCTGTACTTCCTGTTTCTCCCAGCTCATTCTTGGGTCTAAGTTAGCTTCCTTCCCTGCAGATAGTTACTGCCCAGCTACCCAGGGACAAGCAACACTTTACATTGGTCTAGAAGCAAAGGCTTGTTGAGTTTGTGGCTAAGGCGTTGGCAATAGGGCATGGTGTTTAATATGGCCACCCTACCATCCTTGAAGAGGCTGCAACAGCAGCAGGGGCTGGAGACTTAAAAAAAGAACTCTCCAGGCCTTGTTCACAAATCTAGAGTGGCTCTTATTAACCCCAATTTTCTCAATTCTATAATGCAACTCTCTATCCCTATGGGTTTTTTTTGATTATCATTTAAAAAAATGGTAACCTCTAAAGTAGGGGTCGAACTCAATCAGAGAAGGGGCCAAAATCTAAAATCCAGCCTAAATCGCGGGCCGAATGGTTTACTGAACAGTCATAAACTGTCATTGTGATGGAAACGCAGCAGAGTGCAGTGATGACAGCGCGGTGCGGGCCACATTGCAAGGCCTGGCGGGACGGATTTGGCTCGCGGGCCTTGTGTTTGACACATGTGCTCTAAAGTAAGGGAAAAAGCAGGCTGACAAATGTGTTAACCATTAAATATTTGGTCTGGTCATGTGACTTTTTTTGGGGTGAAAAAGATTTTAGGCTAAAGGAAGATCTTTCATAAAGGATAGTAGGATGAGAATATATTGTAGACCAACATCTAAAACACTGAAAAAGTATTCACTGTATGAAATGATGGATCCTTTCAGCACTAATTTAGGTCCTCATGTATGAGCACAGGACTGGAGACCTAATTCTGACTCTGATGGGAGAGTCAGATAGTCTAGTCCAGTGATCGGCAAACTCATTAGTCAACAGAGCCAAATACCAATAGTACAACGATTGAAATTTCTTTTGAGAGCCAAATTTTTTAAACTTAAACTTCTTCTAATGCCACTTCTTCAAACTAGAATTGCCCAGGTGTGGTATTTTGTGGAAGAGTCACACTCAAGGGACCAAAGAGCTGCAGTTTGCTGACCATGGGTCTGTCTAGTCTATGGGTTCACCTTGAGGTGAGCAGAATCCCTCAGGTCTCACTGGCGTGGCCACTCACCATCCGTCTGCAGTGTCCATTCAATATGAATCACAGGGATGGAATCTCCATGCTGGGTTTGGGCAAAGTGCAGCTGGACCTGGACATCTTTTGGGGATGAAGGGGTCAATTTTTGAGGCTGGATCCAGCTGTCATCCAGGCAGGTACCTGGAAGCCAGGAAAAGCAGAAATCAGAGACTTGCATGCTCTGCAAGACACTGCAAGGAACTAAAGCATGCAAGCTATCAATAGATGCCTAGCAGTATATCCAGAGAAGTGGACCTTAAACATCAGGGGCAGGGTTCTCAGCTTTCCCACACTGCCCCTTCTTTTCTTGTGCTTGTCCCGGGTCACTGTAAAGCTTTGAAATCTCAAAGGCATATCAAGAAAGAACACAAAGTACACAAGTTAGTTTTGAAATGAAGTAGTGATTGGAAATGAAGACAGAGGAAGGATGGGGGTAATGAAAAGAGTTGTTTTATTTTTATATGCCAGGGTCCCTAATTAGCATAGACATGTAAAATATGTGCCTTCTTGAATTAAAACAAAGAACCACAGTTCTCTCTCCTGTTACAGTGTTAAGCTCTGATAAATCAAGCTGAATTACTGACACACCATGGCAGCACCTTAAGGATAATCTCAAAATTCAAAGGTCAGTTTAGCTTCTCACTTCCTGACTTTGGATAATGAATATACATATTTTTAAGTTTAAAAAATATATATATTTTTATTGATTTTAGAGAGGAAGGGAGTGGGAAAGAGAGATAGAAACATCAATGATGAGAATAATTGATCTGCTGCCTCCATCATGCCCCCTACGGGAATTGAGCCCACAACCAAGGCATGTGTCTTTGACTGGAATCAAACCTGGGACCCTTCAGTCCACAGGCCAGCAGTCTATTCACAGAGCCAAACCAGCTAGAGCTGAATATTAAAAAAAAAAGAAAAAAGATTTATTATTGATTTTTAGAGAGAAAAGGTAGAGGGAGAGACAAAAAGAAACATAAATGTGAGAGTAAAACATCTATCAGCTGCCTCCTGTATGCACCCACACACAACACCAGGGATTGATCCCACAACATGGGTATGTGCCCTGACAGGAATGAAACCAGCAACTCTCAGTGTGTTGGATGAGGACCAACCAACTGAGCCACACCAGCCAGCCCATGGATGATGAATATTCTGGTTAAAAAGCACAGGTGTGAACATTCAAGGCTCTCAAGAGTATCTCCTGCTGGAAGGTGCAGCCCTTATCCCAGACTGGAAGAGGAAGGGCAGCGTTTTGTCAGTGATCAGCATGAGGTTAGCACTTTATCAAAGCAACACGAACAACAACAAAAAAAAGAGATGACTTACTATTTTTGACTGTACAGTTTAGCCCCTGTGGGGAAAAAAAAAAGGAGGTCATTACATCCGAACTTTAATTCACAAGTTGGGTTCCAGACACTTTTTTTTTTTTTTTTTTTTGCTCATTCTGGCCCTGCCTTCTCACTAGTCTGGGAAGGGGGATGATATTATCCTCACACTTTCTCATCATGCCCAACTGATAAGAAATAGAAGTGGATAACAAAACAGAACTGCTGTTTTCTGAATAACTATTATGAGCTGAGAACCTTCCAACTTCATTTATTTAAAAAATATATTATTATTGATTGCAGAGGAAGGGAGAGGGAGAGATAGAAACATGAATGATAAGAAATCATTGATCTGCCTCCTGCATACCCCCTACTGAGGATCGAGCCCGCAACCTGGATATATGCCCCAAGTGGGAATTGAAACGTGACCTCCTGGTTCATAGGTTGATGTTCAACCACTAGGCCACACTAGCTGGACAAACTTTCCAACTTTAAAAACATTGAGAGGGTTCCCCTGGGGTTCCCTGGTGATAGGCCTCTAACCCCTGGAGACTTCCAATCTTTAGTCTGGAACCAGTGCTGAAAGAAGGGAGATAAAGAAACTCTAGTCCTTGGTACAAAAATTTCTTTATGTCCTTATAAATTGCCTAAGGAAGATGTGCCAGACTGTTTTTTTGCATGAGTTATATACTATATTGTTTCATGAATCCTCATAAAACCCCTGGAGTTGAGTTACCTCAAGAAATATAACATTGCCATGCTTTGATTCTTCAACTATAAAATCAGAATAACTACAATACCAACTTCATAGTGTTGTTGAAAATTAAATGATACAAATAGAAATAAGGATATTGGGGCAGGAAGTGAGCTAGTAGTGATGGTGGTGTATGTATGTGCTCTTAACTTCTTATCTGTCTGTATTGTGAAAATTTTTGAACAAAGTGAATGAATTCTTGTACTAGTTATACAATTAAGTAAAATAATACATGCCCCCACACTGTTACTAGAAGCCTTAGGGGAATCATGATGAGAAATTCTGTTGGCTGCAATAACCACAGAACCGTCTCACTGCCTACTAAATGAGACTAAATTTGCCCACTGTCTGGCACATAATGGCTGCTTTTTATTACTACTGTATTTTTCGGACCATAAGACGCACTTTTTTCCCCCCAGAAGTGGGGGGAAAAAGTCCCTGTGTCTTATGGTCCAAATATAGCCTACACATATACTTTAAAAAAAAAGTTTTTTTACTTGCCCGGCTCTGTGTGGTCTCTGTGTGCTTGCCTGGCTCTAAAATGGTTCTAAATGCTGCTGTTTACTTTACAGGGTTGATTACATGTGTTTATGACTGTGATGTTGGGTTTTAATGCACATAAAATATTTTAGGACACTATTTGTTTCAGAATCTTTTTTTCTTCATTTCCCTTCTCTAAAAACTGGTGCGTCTTATGGTCCGGAGCGTCTTATGGTCCGAAAAATACGGTAGTTCCCCTTCTTATAATAAATGCTCAATAAGTGGGGGGAAGATGGTGAGAGTAAAGGCTGGGAGTGAGGTTAAAGGGGAGGCAAAGCCAGAAATGTCTGTAATACTACTAACATTAAAAATATATATATTTTTTAAAATTTTAAAAATTTTAGTACTATTTTTGGTTTTGGTTTTTGATAGCCATTGTTGTATATAAATACGTTCTTCATAGTTTTTATATAAAGCTCATGAACCTTATAAAATACCTCTCCAGCATTTATTAACATAACTTCATAGATTTTGTTCTTTATTGATATAATGAATTATGTTGATAGATTTGCTGATAATGGACCAATTTTGAATTGCTGGAATAAATTCTACTTGATTATGGAACACTATTCTTTTGATATTCTACTATTAAATTTACTAATATTTACTAATAGAATTGTTTGCATTTATATTCATAAGTGAGATGGGTCTATAGTTTTCTTTTTGTATATGACTTACCAAGTTTTAGAATTTAGCTTTGCTAGCTTTAAAAAAAATACCTTTCCCTCTTTTTCTGTGGTATTGAATACCCATTATAGGGTATGGCTGAATAAAGTAAGATCTAATTTAAATCTTATTGTCCATCAAAATAGAAATGGTTCTTTCTACTATGGATTATGCAAATATTAAAGAGCATTAGATATATAGATGTCTATTGAGCTGGATTGATGACTAAATGTGTTAAAGAGAAAAATAAGATGCAAAAACTATTGTAGAATCCAGTTTTCTATGGAAATAGGTAATAAAAAAAATCTGTGAATATAAACTGTATGAACATAGAAAAACATGTGGACAGATATATATCAGACACACTGGTTACTGAGGAATAAAGAAATGGAAGAGATGAAGAGAGTGACAAAGCCCAATATCATGAAACTTTTGGTATAGCAGGAATAAAAAGAAAATTCTGGAGGGAAAAAAACCTAAAAGTTTTCCCCTTATTATCATTTTCCTTATTATCAAGAATAAGACAGTGATGTCCTCTTATTCAACACTAGAGGCCTGGTGCATGAAATCCATGCACAGGTAGGGTTCCTAGGCCTGGCCAGTGATCAGGGCTAATTGGACCCTTCTGTCTGGGCCCTTCCATTGGGGGCTTTCTGTCTGGCTGCCAGCCAGGACCTCCTTTGCTCTGCTCTGCCCCCTGGTGATCAGTGCACATCATAGTGAGCAATTGAACTCCCAAGGGGGACACTTTGCATATTAGCCTTTTATATATATAGATAGTACTAGAATTCCTGGCCACAACAATCAGACAAGAAGAAATAAAAGGCATATGACATGATATTATAAAGAGAGAACCCTAAAAATTCTACAAAAAAACCTACTAGAACTGAAAAATTTAGTAAAATACCAGGATACAAAATTAATATTCATAAATCAGTTGCATTTTTATACACCAATAATAAATTATCAGAGACAGAAACTAAAAAAATAATCCCACTTACAATTGCATTAAAAAAATTAAAATACCTAGGAATAAATCTAACCAAGGAGGCAAAAGACTGGTATCTGGAAAATTATAAGACACTGAAGAAGATACAAGTAAATGGAAGCATATACTGTGCTTATGGATAGAATCCTATATGACAGTGGTTGGCAAACTCATTAGTCAACAGAGCCAAATATCAACAGTATAAAGATTAAAATTTCTTTTGAGAGCCAAATTTTTTAAACTTAAACTTTTTCTAATGCCACTTCTTCAAAATAGACTTGCCCAGGCTGTGGTATTTTGTGGAAGAGCCACACTCAAGAGGCCAAAGAGCTACATGTAGCTTGTGAGCTGCAGTTTGCTGACCACGGCTATATAATAAAAGGCTAATATGCAAATTGTCCCCTCAACTGGGAATTTGTCCCAGAATTCAACTAGGAGTTCGACCAGGAGGTGGGGCTGGCCCACCAACTGCTTGTGGCCCCTCCTCCCAGCCAGCCCCTCCTTGGTCGACTCCCACAATCGGAGGTGCGGCAAGCCTGCCAACCGCCAATGACCCCTCCCCCTGGCAGGCCCAACTGCCCTCAATCAGGGTGGGCCAGTTGGATCCCACCTATGCACGAATTTGTGCACAGGGCCTCTAATAATTAACATAACTAAAATGTCCATACTATCCAAAGCAATCTATAGATTTCAATGCAATTCCTATAAAAATGCCAACGTCTTCAACATTCTGAAGAAAAATGATTTTTAAACTAAGGTTTGTATAGCCAGCCAAATTATTTTAAAAGTGAGGGCAAAATAAAGACTTTTTAAATATATATATATATATATATATATATATATATATATATAGGCAATGATAAGATATGTACACATATAATGCCTTATAAAAATAATGGGGGGGGGAAGAAATTTCAATTGTTGCACTGTTGATTATATATGTGTATATATATATATATATATATATATATATATATATATATAGAGAGAGAGAGAGAGAGAGAGAGAGAGAGAGAGTTTATACAGGGGTTGGAAAAGTAGGTTTACAGTTGTAATGCAAATAAATACAATAATTAATAAATACAAGAATAAACTGTATTTTGTATACTCACAACTACTTTTTCCACCTCTGTATGTATCCATCCCTCATATCCTCATAACTTTTCTTAGGAAATTACAGGAGGATACGCTCTAGCAAAATGAGGGAGATAATCTTTGAGAAAAAACTACACAGATTCAGGACATGGGAGCTATAAACATGACAGAATACCTAGTATGGCATTTGTGCTACAGGTCTAGTGCAGTGGCTGGCCCCTTGAGTGTGGTTCTTTCACAAAATACCACGTGTGCACCGGGACCGGTTTGGCTCAGTGGATAAAGCGTTGACCTGCGGACTGAAAGGTCCTGGGTTCGATTCCGGGCAAGGGCATGTACCTGGTTGCGGGCACATCCCCAGTAAGGGGTGTGCAAGAGGCAGCTGATCGATGATTCTCTCTCATTGATGTTTCTAATTCTCTATCCCTCTCTCTTCCTCTCTGTAAAAAAATCAATAAAATATGTTTTAAAAAATTATAAAAAAAAAAAATACCACGTGTGGGCACACATGTACAGTGCAATTGAAACTTCATGGCCCATGCACAGAAGTTGGTTTTCAGCTCTCAAAAGAAATTTCATGTGGGGCGGGGAGGGCAATGGTAAGATATGTACACATATAATGCCTTATGGGGGGAAAAGAAATTTCAATCGTTGCACTGTTGATATTTGGCTCTGTTGACTAATGAGTTTGCCGACCAGTGGTCTATAGCATAATAACTCCAGACTGGAGTGGAGGACAGAGGGCACCAGGGGGAGTTTTCTGGGGACAGGGGAATGAAATTGATGGGATATCTGATATTTGTGGGGGGAAAAAAACATGACAAATCTGATAGAAAAAACTAAGACTAGTTATAATGAAAATTATGAAAATGAAGAATTAAAGCAATTATTACCTTCACAGGAAAAGAAGTTATAACAAAAAATAAATATAATCAAAAGCACACATACTTTTTTCATGAGTGAAGATTATTTACTTGCTATAA